AAGGCTGGCAGTTCAAACCCACCAGCCACTCCTCAGAAGGAAGGTTGGGCAATCCTACTTCCGTAGTGATACTGCCTCGGAAACCCAAGGAGGGGTAGCTATGAGTCGGGGCCAACTCGACGGCACATAACAACAATAACAACAATAAATTGTAGCAGGATATTGACAGAGAACTTCCAGGAATGCAAGCTGGATTCAGAAGAGGGTACGGAATGAGGGATATCATTGCTCATGTCAGATGGATCTTGGCTGAAAGCAAAGAATACCAGAAAGATGTTTACTTGTGTTTTATTGACTGTGCAAAGACTTTCAATTGTATGGATCATAACAAATTGTGGATAACATTGCAAAGAATGTTATCTGGGAATTCCAGAACACATAAATGTACTCATGAGGAACATGTACATAGACCTGATGCCTTTGAATTCCAGTGTTGGTGAAGAATACTGAAAACACCGTGGTCTGCCAGAAGAATGGACAAATCTGTTCTGAACAAAGTGCACCCAGAATGTTCCTTGGAAGTGAGAATGGCCAGATTTCATCTCACCTACTTTGGTCATGTTGTCAGAATGGACCCTTCCCTGAAGATGGAAATCATGCTTGGCAAGGTGGAGGGTCAGTGAAAAAAGGGAAGACCGTTAACAAGATGATTGACACAGTGGCTGCAACGGTGGCCTCACATATAATAAGGATTGTGAAGACGGTGCATAATTAAGCAATGTTTCGTTTTCTTGTACGTAGGGTCATTATGAGTTGGAGTCAACTCGATGGCACTTGGCAACAATAGGTAGGTAGTGGTAGTTTGAATTTACATTTCTTTTATGAATATATATTGAACAGCTTTTATTTTGTTTTATTTATTTATTTTTTTATTGTGATTTGGGTGAAAATTTACAGAACAATTTCACTTTCCATACAGCAGTTCACATACACTTTGTCTCATGACATTGACCACAATTTACCACAATGCACATTCTCCAAATGATTTTGAGTTTTGTTGAATAGCTTTTGATGAGCTTTTTTTTTGCCATCTGAATATCTTGTTTGATGAAGTGATTATTCAAATCTATTGCTATTTTAAAAATTTTATTGTTAATTTTCTTATTATTGAGCTATGAGTACTCTTTACCAAGTCTGTTTATGAGTCTTTTATCAGATATATAGTATCTGATAAAATATGAAAAATTTGCAAATATTTTCTCCCAGTCTGTGGTTTACTTACTCTCTTTACAGTATCTTTCAAGATGCAGAATACTTAATTTATCATTTTCATTGATTATGCTTTTGGTATTATAGGTAAGAAATCTTTACCTAACCCCAAATCCAAAGAATTCCTCCTAAGATTTCTTCTAGAAATTTTATAGTTTTAGGTTTTACATTTAGATTGATTATCCATTTGAATTATCTTTTATATATGGTGTGAGATGTTGTCTGAATGTACATGTGTACATAGACACAGTTTGTATCCTTAAATGAACTTTTTAAAATTTTATCAAAATTGTCACATTTATTGGTATAGAGTAGTTCTTGATATTTGTTCTGGTTACCTAGTGCCACTCTGACAGGAAACATACCACAAATGGGATGGCCTTAACAAACAAGAGTTTATTCTTACAGTTTGGAAGCTTTAAGTCCAAGTTCAAAGTGCCAGGCTCTAGGGGCTGTGTAAAAGCCCCTCAGCCTTGAGGTCCAACTCTGCCTCCTGCTCCCGGCCAACTGGAGCTAGAGGCATTTCTTCACTTAGACAGTCACTGGCTGCTGAGGCTGAGAAGCCCCAAGGTTGACAAGGAAAAAGGCACAGTCCCGTTATTACCAAACTACACCGCAGGCCATTAACTTAAGTCCATTTTAAGTCCCAAGGTTGGCAGAGCATAGCAGGCTGCAGACAACGACATGGCTACATGCAGATCCAAGCGTGCCATAGGCTAGAGACCATTCCCAAAGGCTTCTCCTTATATACAGGAAGCAGACCACATACCCAAAGGCAGCTACCCAGCTGCTTGTGGTAGATCCCATCATGGAGTTGATTGCCAGTCTCCTCATGGGGATTAACTACCATCAGCTGCCTGGCCACTCAACCAGGCCCAGCCAAGTTGATATACAAACTGAACTACCACAATATTCTTATTTTCTTTTTATTATTGTTTCTCCTTATTATCTTTTTAATACATAGAATCTCTAGTGTTTTCACCTCTCACATTTCTGATTTTGATAGTCTTTTCTCTGTTTTTCCCACTCTCAAATGTGAGGCCTGAGTCCTAATGCCCTCCAGGTATTTCTTTAACCAGGAGTCTTTAGCTGGAGTCTCAAGGAATGTGAGGCCTGAGCCCTAATGCCCTCCAAGTAATTCTTTAATCTTTAGTGCCGGGGATTCCAACACATCCCCCCATGCATAAGAGCTTTACCTGGCTCCAGCACGACTCCCACATCTCAGGGCGTTATCTCCCCTCCAGATAATTATTCTCTAACCAGTCTTTAGTGCCAGAGATTCCAGCATGTCCCCCCACATCTCAGAGCTCTACCCTAAACCCCCTAGCAACAACCAATCATTTGTACCCCTTTGCCTTGGTGCTACTCCACCCTATATTTTTCCTATAAAAATGTAATAGTAAGAAAGCACGGGGTCTTTTGCCCAAACTGCTGTGTCAGTATAAGCAGAGACCCTAGCTCGAGCTAGCCAATAAACTCTCCTTCTTCCACTTGCATTATCATGTGTTAGCAAATTCCTCTCGCCGACCAACTGCTTCCTAACCTGGACTCAACACAAAGAATCTGCTTTTGGTTTCACGGCCTTTCTCAATTGTTTTTCCATTTTATTTTCTAAGCTTTTCTATATCCTTTCTTCTGCTTACATTTTTTTTTTTTTTCATGCTTCTTTTTCTAGTTTCCTTCTTTTCTTTTCTTTATTTGCTCTTTAGTACTTTATTTTTTAAGTAGTGATTTGGGTGAAAGCTTACAGGGAAAATTGGTTTTCCAGTCAACAGTTCACATACAATTTGTTTGGTGTCATTCATTGTAATCCCTGCAATGGAACAGCACTCTTCCTACTTCCTCCCTGTGTTTACCATTTCCCTTCATCCTTCTTTCCTATCCTTTTCTGCCTTCTTAGCTTTAACCCTGGGCAAATGCCACCCTTTTGATTTCATATGGTTTAGGTAAGGTAGAAGATGGAATCTTTGATTTGAGATCTTTCTCTAATTTAATTTTGGCATGTAGTGCTATGAATATCTCCTTTGGGTATTATTTTAGCTATATCCCACAAATTTTGTATATTCATTTTCATTCAATTCAAAATACTTTTAATTTCCTTTCTGATTTCT